TATTATTCTTAATATTTTAATTATTAAAATATTTTAATTTTTCACTTATTTCTTAACAAATTCTTTAAATTTTACAAAGAAAGTACAACACGGATAACTCCAAAGATAAGAGCTCATTTAGTACCCTTTTTGTTTTTGTGCTTTTGTTTTTATTTCTTTTATTTTTAGCAATTAAATTTAGATATATTACCTTTTATTTCAAAATAACTGTGGCTTTTTGACACTTTTTTAATTAAAAATTTGAAAATAATTTATGTGTTAATCCATATTACCCTTAAAAAGAGTTAAGTAGATAAATAAGCGACTTTTTTTTTATAAGATGATTAATTAAAATAAATAGATAACAATAAGGTTTAAAATAAGAAAAAAAATATTTATTCTTCTTTAAAAATATATAAAATAATTAATTTTAAAAAATTAAAGTAAAAAAAAAAGTTATTTTGAGATGAATAGAGTAGTAATTTAGAACAAATAAAAAATTTCATATTTTAATTATTAAATTACAACATAAATAAAATTGGTTATCAAAAATAAAGAAATAAAATAAACGCTACTAACATTTAGGCTATATTTGGTTTAAAGAAAATAAATAGGAGAGTGTGAATTTTTTGAGCAATCAAATTACAATATTGGCAAAAAATTCACCTCTTTTCTCTATTTTCTTCAAACTAAAAATACTCTTAGTAAGTATTTGATGCAATGCTAAAAGAATAATTAAATAATAAGAAGAGGTTATATAGTGTACATTAAATGGTGTAATTAACAGAAATTAGATTCTCATTGGATGAATAATAAGTGATAAATACAAAATTTTTGGTGTCCGGTGATGCTACATGATAGTAGTAAGTTCATTATAGAAGATAATGTTGGCAGGTCATGGACTGTTCTGTTGTCTTATCCGGAAAAAATGCCTGGAGTGGACATGGGTCGGCATGCATTTTTATTTCATCCGTGCCTAGTTGTTTGTGAATGCTTTGATTGGAAGTCACTCCAAACTCATTGCAGAAGAATATGAACATTTGGCAATTATTTGATGACTTTGTGTTCCCTAATTGCTCAACAAAATTAATAAAATTTAGGCTCTCTTTTTGTTTGAGGATTTATTTAATTTATGTTTTAAGGGTGTAATTAATATATTTTTTATATTAATTAATATAAAAAATGATAAAAATTGACATTAATTTTATTATCAATATTAAAACAATTAAATAAATAAATATTAAGTTTTATTTTTTAATGGTAATTAATATTAAAAAAATATTATTAACTTGTGCTCATAAGACATAGGTTAAAAAATTCCTTTGTTTAATTGGTTAGAATAGCTTATAACTAAAAATAAATATTAAGAATTAAAAGCATTGTGTCATGGAAAACCCTAACGCTTCTCTCTTTTTTTCATATATTTTTTAGTGGTCGTCTTCTTTTCTTTTTCTCTTTTTTCATAGCTGCGACCTTTTTCCCCTTTG